GCAAACATGATGTTTGTAACACTTCAACCAGTCTGTTCAAAATGGTACAAATATATTCCTTTAGGGGCAACACAAAAGCACAAAGCGCAGCAGCTGACTGCTTTCTCTCATTTAGTGTTTTATAAAGAGGAAAAATGCACACTATGGGACTCCTAAAAACATCCTGACAGAAATACCAGCATGCTACCATTTTTATCTTTGTACAAGTGAAAACATTACAAAGCAGCAGAGAAATCATCCCTGGGAACAAACACTCACATACTGTGTGACTCACCTTTGAACTTCAATGGTTCCCATGGTTTCATAGGCAAAATCACATTTGTTGTCGATCTCAATTGCCTTACTGATGAGGTCGAGACCCAAGTCGAGATCCTGTTTCCACTGAAGCTGCAACAAACTGCAGACAGAGCAAACAACACGTCACATTTACACAAACAAATTATATGGATCAATATAGCCACATAACAGGGGAGAAACCCTTACCCCTTGTGGACATATGTTGTAGCATTGTCTGGTTCCAGTTCAATACACTTGTCGTACATTTCATCGGCTTTTCCAAATTGCTGCTGATCAGTCAAAGCCTGAGAAGTACACAGGAGGACTGGTAAAAACGTGCCCGCCAGGCATGAAAGCGACACTTTCCCATCCCAACAGGATTATAATGCTTTCACAAAATGACTAAAAATAAATCAGTGCACATATTAACCACATTTCCAAGCAAATGTGGGAAATGTTAAGGATTTATGGCTATTTTGAATACATATCATGAGGAGTTGGCCAAATCAAGATAAGCAGTTTTGTTACAATAAGCTATCACAGAGAAAGAGAAGACTGCAAACAAGTATTAAAACAGAACAGAAACACACGGTATTTCTATTTCATGTGTTAATGTAACACTACAGCCTGTCACATTTTGTTTATATCCATCTCCAGCCGAGCATACCTGAGCGTAGAGAGCGTAGCCCTCTGCACATTTTGGAAACCTCCGGATAACATCTTCAAAGCCATCCATGGCTGTCTGTATTTGTGAAATATTACTTCCAGTATATGCTTGTCTGTACTGAAGGACAGAAGAGTCAAATGAAAATGATAAATGGCACAAACAAAAATCACCATATGATCATATAATGAATAGAAATAATTAAAACATTTAAGGCAAAATCAGGCAGTTACAGACAGCAGGAACTGGGACGCTCAGACCATTAAGAGGACACTGAAAGTGATCAGTGAAAAGTGGGATATGCTTGAGGACCAGAGAGCAGGTTTTTCAGGCTTTATCTCAAACATGACTTGTATCCAAACTTTCAAAGACTTCTGGCATATCTTCCAGGTCTCGTCATACCGTTAGCCATTCCTGCTATTTTGGAAAAGTTACCCTAAAATTCTCTCTTCTATTGTGACTTTATATCAGCGCTCCAACCTTTTGTGCCATGGACGGTTTAATGCCAGACCTTTAAGCTGTCGCGGATAAATACAACAAAATAAGACGATAATAATACTACAATAATAATAAACGTGACTTC